TGTCTTTGAATTTGTTTCTGTAGTCACCCTGGCCCAACACAGTGGCTATTTGAGAGAAAGCCACAAAATATTGCTACAAATGCATAGAAACCTTTTTTAATAAAAATATCAAAATGTAAAGCCACTGTTCCTTGTTAAACCTTCTTTCTATATCAAGATAAGTAAATTTTTTTAGCTTTATGAAGACCTTCTTGTGAAAGCTGCAGCTTTATTAGGTCTTTACTGAGGAGCTAAAGCACCAAATTTAATCAAATAATAGTTTGTAGATAAGCGCCAAAGGCAAAGAAAATTAGAGGAGCCTAATTAGAACAAATGATGAACTGCATCAAAATGTAGATAAACCGGACCATCCCTTAAATTAGCAACCTTCATCATTAACAGATGAGGAAAATTCAATCCAGGACAAGGAAAATAAATATATAAATGGATGTATCTAATTTTATAAGCAGAGTTCTTATTTTTGAGAGTTCTTTTTCAAAACAAGTTTTACACTATCATTTAAGATCATCCAGGGTTGCAGAATTTGGTACTAATATATTTTGCACTGATTAAAAATGTTTTTTATTCTGTGCCATCCAATATGGTAGCCACATGAACATTACTGAATACTTGAAACGTAGCTAGTGGAGATGCGAAAGTGAACTTTAATTGTAAATTAATTAAATTTAATTTAAAATTAAGTAGGCTACCATATTAAACAATGACTTTTTAGAAGCTTTAGTGTATATGCCTTGTCTTTCTGGAATTCTTTTAAAAGTAAAGTTAAAGGAAGCTTGAAAATCTTTGATTTTTCTCATTGTAAATTAACAACGGCAAATAATAGTTAAGTAAAAGAAGCGTTTCTGGTACAAAATGTCAGTTGTGATGCATGAGTTTATTTTCCATTGTAAGGTAGCCACTAGGTATCATTAAGGCAAAAATTCCTCTTCACTTGTTTCTTGTGAACTAGGCTTTCAAACAATTACCACACACACATACCAGGGTGCCATTAACATCTTGACTCAGGTTCTTCATCTCCCCCACAATGAAAGCAACCAGGTAAGTGCTCATCTTCACACTCTCATAAAACTCATCCTGAACGAGTCCATCTTCCACAAGGACTGATGATTTCTACGAGCAAAAAAAGGGGGGAAGGTGACAGTTCTGTAACTTTGGATAGAAATAACAGTGCCAAATGAAGTGAGAAAACGAAAAGTCAACTAGAAAATAGGTTGTGAAGATGCTGGTATATTTTAATCACCCAGTGGAATTTCTGACAGAGCACAGCCTTCTCTGTCTGCTCGAACCACCCAGCATGAGCACATATTGGGTATAAAAGGTAGCTTTACATATGTATGTCAGTTAGAGATAATAAATAACAGTATTTGTTTCTTCCCTTTAAAATACCTCCAAAGCTAAAATCCTTACATCAGACCTTGGACTATTGTACTCTACTGCTACAAATTACTTTAGCGAATAAGGATTTACTGCTGCGATGCCAAGTTCCATCCGACTGTGATGTGAAATGGTTTCTTAGTGTGCCACGCTGAGGACACGGAAAGGCTCGGGAAGTCACCAGAGAAGGCTGTCATGGGCACGATAGAGGGTTACGGTATGGCTGGGAATGAAACGCTCAGCCCAACATCTTTGTTGAAGGATACATTCTGTCCTAGTCTCTCTACAAGGGATGACGGCATGGCTTCTCGAGTGTAGCTACTCCTGTGTGCTAACCATAATGGTTCCCGGAGGCTCCTAAAGGGTAACCAAAGGATCCCCTAGAGTTTCTATTTAGCATAAAAACACTGCTGCTTCGTTATGTCCTTGCCCACACTGCCTTCCATGTAAAACTGGTATTGTTATAGTTAGTCTTCAAATTATAATACAGATTTTCCACACAGCAATAAAGCATAAAAAACACCCATGATTCAAACTATAACACACGACTGCTTAGTAAAGCAAATTCACCAGGTGCCGTGAAATACCACTCTACTCTTCAGTGACAGTGCACACTGTCCCACATTTGCAAACTTTAGTGCAGAATACGTACTTTACATTTCCTACAAATACATTCTAAGTCCATGTCCTCCTTTCTTTCCTCTAGGTCAGCGGTTCTCAATCTGTGGGTTGCGACCCCTTTGGGGGTCAAACAACCCTTTCACAGGTGTCGCATGATTCATAACAGTAGCAAAATTATGGTTATGAAGTAGCAACGAAAATAAGTTAATGGTTGGGGGGTCACCACAACATGAGTAACTGTGTAAAGGGTTGCGGCATTCAGAAGGTTGAAAAACCACTGTTCTAGGTGCTGCTCCTGAGGCTAGCTTCCCGGTCAATCCAACATGTGAACATTCATTTAAGTCCCTAAGAATGCATATCATAGTCTCAACAGCGGCCTGGAAAAGGTGAAGTCAAGTGTTCTTAGTGAAGAAAGAGACACACTCATGGTTACACATTCCAAGAAACAGAACAGTACCTTGGGCATATTCGATAAAGCAGTGTGCTGCTCATCCCTTGTGATCCTGATGACAAATGCGGCTTTAAATGCTGGCTCATCAAAACAAGGAAAAGCAGATCTTGCCGCCAGGGGTTCAAACTGAGTGGCTGCAAAGTACCTAAATCAAGCACAAATTCAATCCAATAGTCATTGAGCATCTACTAGTCAAGGCACCATGACAAGTACTAAGGTAAGACATCATACAATCTTAGACATCACAGGATCTGCAATCTACGGGGAGGGGCAGAGGCTTACACAGCAGTCAGAAAACTAAGTCAGGCCCCAAACCATGTCATAAACACATAAGTCAAAGGAGGGAAGAGACGACATTCTATGGACAGTGGGCAGCACACAAACAGATGCAGAGCAGGCCATGTTCAAGGACCAAGGGTCATCAATGTGGTAGGAGATAGAAACCATAGAGACGGCTGGTCAGTGAGGCCTTTGTAAGGTTTCTAATGGAGAACAGTAAGAAGGGAGTCATTATATGCCATTAATCATCTGTACAAACAGACTCTGGCTTAACACTAACCCCTGTACTCATAACTTGCACTTTCATGAATACTAAGTAAAATAGGTGTTTGAAAAACTTAAGACTGAAAAACTGTAGTATGCTGGTTTCCTTTATTCTTTTCCAATTAATCTTTTTTTCTTCTCTTCCTACAACACACCAAACATGTGAAACATTAACTCAGTCATATATAGGTGTGTGTGTATACACATATTATTTTTGTTGAGATTATAAAGAACATAAACCAATTTAACAAGTTCTACACATTCGATTCAGTGACACTACGTTCTTTGAGTTGCATAACCATTCTCAGTTCTCCTTTCTGAGTTGTTCCTCCCTCATTAACATAAACGAACTGCCCCCCAAGCTTCCTATGTAATCTTTTAAGTCACTGTTGCCAATTTGGCCCCGTATAAATTGATCTTGAGAGCTCACACGCTCAAGGCAGATCACTCTTTAATTCAGCTAAACAAACTATTGGTCCGTTTTATGAGGTTTTTGGTTTAAGGTTTAAGGGCAATCTCAGGCCCTACTTTCAGAGGTTCATCCAGTCACTACAGTTTCAGAATTTCTGAAATCCATGAGAATTTAACGATCTATTCTGAATTTCCTTTTGATTAGAATTTTTCTAGAGGATCTTTGATCAAAATGCTCAGTAATGTTGTTAGCTGGACACATTCCCATATCATACAATTCAACATATTTTCCACTTTTAAAAGATAAGCAAAAAAGATGCGAAACTTGAGTTCAGAAGACTAAAACTCACTGACCTAAGTTTCACTTTCCTAGGTTGATAAATCAAGAATGAGAATCATCTCAAACATGCAAGGTTTTTGCTAGAACCAAGTACGACTGTTTAAAGTTAAAACTACTTTCTACCACAAAGTCCTTTATGGAGGCCTTTTTTATACATGCTATTATGGCTCTAAGGCTTCGTTTTTTCACCTTGAAATTTATTGCATTTTCCTTCGTAATAAGGAGCACTGGTGGTACAGTTACATGTTAACCTGCTAATCTGTAGGTCAGCAGTTCAAAACCAGCCACTCCTGATGAGAAAGATAAGACTTTCTAGCCCCATAGAAACCACAGAAGCAGCTCTACTCTGTCCTATAGGACTACTTTAAGTCAGAATTTATCGATGGCAGTAAGGTTGTTTTGTTTTGTTTCTCGGCTCTAATATATAACTGTTTGTATTCAGTAAATTTCATGGAAGATATCTATGAAACAACTTAAGCATATGCTGCATCTTCTTACTCAGTCTGCAGGAGGTTTGGAAGAAGGTCACCAGTAATCAGGGAATAAATAGAGCCCTACTTGAACCATCACTTTTTGATAAAAGTTGGATCATAAAAGTCTAAAATAAAATCTCAAAATCACAATTAAAAAGAGATAGTAACTCATATCAAGGTTTCTGAGAACAGGCTGCTTGCCCATTGAATTTTGGATATCTGAAGCTGATTCTTTAATTACCCAGCTGCAGCTGTGGAGCCCCAACGGGACTCCTGGTGACCCTAGTCTGTCAGGAAGAGCTGTGCCGCTCCTCACAGACTGGCTGTTCAGAATGGAGACTGCTGGGCCTGTCCTCCACCGTGTCTCTAAGTGGACTCACATCTTCAACTGTTCACTGTTCACACCACCAAGACACCATTCTCTCTTATTAATGACTGTATTTGCTTTGGGAAACACGACATACTTTAAGGCTGCTTACTGGTTTGAAAATTTTTGCGTCAACAATTTAAATCCCTTTCAAAACCACCAGCAGCTCCAAGGAAGAAAGAGTGGGCTTTCTAGTCCCATAAAGAGTTACAGTCTTAAAGCCCACAAGGGACCACTGACTCTATGGCAGTGAGGTTGGGTTTTTAAAGCGGTTCCTGCTATAGCTCCCCAGGTATTCAGTCAGGCAGTAGGGCCAACCTTACATGCTCTTCAACAGAACACAGGGTACATTTGAAATATCAAATTCATGTTGACAGAAAGGTTTGTCTGAACCAACGCACCCTGCATACGTTACAAAGAAATATTTTGTTCTTCCACTTCATACTACTACTTCCAAGTTGAAGTCTGTTTTCATGTAGTAATTAATCTGAATCTTATTTCTAAATGTTTTAGATTAATGTTACCAGATTTTGCTAAGGCAAAACACAGGAATCCAGGTTGTCATTACCCTTCCCTAAATTGGAAAGCCTGTCTCCCTAAAGCTTACTTCTTGAGGCCTACAGGGCTAACGAACCTAGTGATAAAAAGGGGTTCCAAGAAGTGACCTATAAGATATACCGAATATACTCAAGTATAAGCTAACCCGAATATCCACCAAGGCACCTAATTTTACACAAAAACTGCCTAAAAAATGTGAAAAATTCAGCTTATACTTGAGTATATACGGTATACTCAAATGTAAAGAAAGTTGACAACATGTTCACTTTAAAAGAAAAGAAATTGAACACTTAGTATAATAAAATGTTTTCTGGAGCCCACTTTATTATTTCATCTATTGTGTTTTCTGAAGACACTAATTCAATACTTTAATTCCACATAAAATAGAATAGGGTGTGCTCAACTGATTCATCACACACATCTGTTAATTATGGTAGACAAAGGAAGCAGATTAGGCACATAAGCATGGGGCAATCAGAGGAAGACAGATGCCTGGTAGAGATCTCCAAGAAGCGCTGAAAACACTAGAGAAGCGGAGACAGAGATTTCCCCCCAATGAACAGACAGAGCCTTCTTCTTGAAGAGACCTTTCGATTCAGACTTCTGGACGCCTGCTGTAAGAAAACACATTTCTGTCCATGAAAGCCACCCAGCTGTATTTCTGTTACAGCAGCAGGGAGACAGACTAAACACACAAACTACAACAGTGGTTAACATTGCGGTTCTGAGTAAACATTGGCTATTACTGTCATCAGATTTCAGGAACGTGCACAAGAAGCCATCCAAATTACGAAAGGTCTCAAAACAAATCTAGAAATGAGGAACTGCTAAGGATCGTCCGTCAAAGAGGACCACGGTCAGATCTGTACACAGAGAAATGCGGGTTTGGCAGCAGTGTGGAGAAGGGAAGCGGGGGAGGGGAGCTAAGGTAAGTGTAGTGGCCAAGAGATCTGTTCTGAAGCTACTTGAAGAGTTCAAGAAAAAGATGCTGAAGACAGGCAGACTAAGAAATACACAAACACAGCCCCATCCTAAATATATTCACTAGTTCTTTTAGTTTACAAGCATCTTAAGTCTATCATCAACAACTTCTTTGTTACAGATTTCTTCCCTTAGATCACAGGGGTAAAGCTTCCTTATTACAAGTAATAACTCTGCAACTAATTGACTCAAATGTAACAATTATGAAGTGTTAAAAGACAGTGTTTCATTGTGCTGTCCGGAGGGTCATTAGGGAGTCGGAACAGACTCGGAACCGAACAATACAAATATAACATAGTAGGCTTTACAAACCGTTTGAGAACTACATCCCTTAAATGTTTTACCTGTACTTTGAAAATTTTCCTAATTCTGATAGAAACATTAAAGCCTGAACACCTGCACACACATACCACCACCCACCATAAGCTTAAAGCTTTGACTACGTGACAAGTTTTACACATTCTACCTAATCGCAATTCTACTATTTTGCGCATAACCACCTAAATTTAAAATAAATAAATTGCAGCAAGGAGCTCTGATGTGGGCAGAGAGATCTGTACTTCAGAACTGATCACAGAGCAAAGGAAAAGAATCAATTTAAAAGGCTACGTACTTTTTCTCATGACTTTCATCTGTGTAGGAGATGCCGTAAAACCCGTAATAAGAACTAGATATATTTGCTGAATATTCTATCTTCAAGGTGTAATTATGCCCTTCTAGGAGGGCTTCTGGGGCCACAATGGCAATTTGTTCATGAGATGGGTATTCCAGAACCTCAACTGGTTTTTCTTGGCTTAAAACTGCGGACATAAAGGTTACTTTTGAAATGTTATGGTCTGTGCTATGAAGAATGACATTCCACGTGACCTGCAGAGCCTGAATTGAGATCGTCACAGAACCCTTGAAAGTCATCGAAGTCAGGTTTGGGTGTAGGGTAAGCTCATAGCGTAGTGGCTTAATGGCAGTGGGAAGCCGGATTTGTGCCCACGGAAACAATTTCCCATTTGTTGCAAATGGTTGAATTAGTCTCATTGATTGGTTTTTCTGATGGCAGCCTTCTTTGGTAAAGGTACATTTGGGCAACAGGTAAATCACCATGATAACAGAAATGGCAACCGCGATGACAAAAGCACAGACCAACATGGTCCTGGCAGAGGGTATCGAACAAGCGCCATCAGGGCTCTGCCTGTAGCTGGCTGCGCTATTCCGAAGGCCTGAGCTTCTGTTCATGAAGGACATGCCCAGCAGCTTTGCAGACGACTCATAGTCCTCTTCGTCCTCGTCCAGCTCATGTTCCCCAAGACCTCGCACCAAGAGGCGTGAACCCCGGGGCTCATATTCCACCTCATCAGGCTCTAGAGGATGTAAACAAGGTTCTTTGGCTAAATCCACCACGTCTGGCTCTTCCTCAAACATGCTGTTTTCAATCATATTCCGGGGGAGCTGAAGTCGATCTAAAAAGCCAAGATAATAAGGACAAGACAGTGGGTTAGGAGGGGTAAAAAAATCTCACAATGAAATTTCTCTTAGCAAGACTTCTAATTTTATTTTTCCACACACTTTTTGAAGAACTCTGTTTAATCTAGGATTTTATTTCACCGCTTAGACTTACCTCCATTTCAGTGCTACTGAATTAAATAAGATGTTACTTACTGGCTCTTCCACATAAATAAAGGCATACCACAGCCATGAAACAAGAAAGCAAAGTATACAGGTTAGTGTTAAAAAGAGAGAGAACTAACCCCCATCTTTCTAGGGCGTGAGACCCAGATCCCCAAAGTACTTTCTCATAACAATCAAATCTGCTTTCAGTGATTGTGTTGGTCTCTTTGCTCAAATCTACCCTCTCCAGAGGGAAGGCCACAACCTAGTGTGCTTTTCCAGGGATGGTCCTCTCTCTACTAGGAAACAATATAATAAGAAAGCAGGGAGGAAAAACTATAAAAAATCCAATCAAATAGTAATTCTAACCCCCTCCCACCTCCACCCCAGCATTCAGGAGTATAACATATTTGCATCTGCAACAGCATTATACAGCAGTGGATCTAGGGGTGGGGGAGTAGTGGGAAATGAGAACCACATCCTGTACCTTGATGAGAATCACTGAAAAATCAACTTCAACAGGTAGTGGGGTGTATAACCCTATATATATTAGTAATTCCTATTGCCTAGACCAGAAGCATCACCTTGAGGGCTGAGTTAGTTAATTGTGCCAGCCTGGCCGATAATCACATGTGGGGCTAATTGAAAGGCAGAGGGATAAATGGGTGGTGAGCCTCGCCTTTCTAGTTCTCAGGTCTCTTGCTTTGTGATGGTCGCACCAGGGTGCAGCTGCCTTAGCAGTTCCCTGCTTCAGCTTGCAAGATTGACTTCCTACAAGACATCCCCAAGGAGAAGCCACATGGACCTATCCTGATGCAGTCCTGGGTGCTGGAGCAGCTGTGTGGAGACCCCTGCCAGCGCTGAGATGCTTATTCGTTCACTGACTCAGCTTTCCTCCTGCAGTCGGCATCATTGCCTCTGTTTTGTGAGGTGGAGGACTTTGTGGACTGGTGTTGGATTAATGGGTTAATGTTGGACTTGTTTGGGCAGCATTGGGTTGGGATGTTTTCGTGATGCACACTTTCTTCACATAAAACTCTCTCATACATGAGTTGCTGAGGATTTGTTTCTCCAAAGTACCTAGACTAATACAAGGGCACAAAGGTGAACTGCTCAGCTGCTAACCTGGAAGTTCAAACCCACCCATTGTGGCTCTGTGGAAGAAAGGTGTGTTCTACTCTGTTCTGCAGGGTTGCTATGAGTTGGAATTGCTTAAGTGGCAAAAAGCAACATGACTAGTTAGCAAGTTCTCTAAGAGTCACTGAATTTTAGCTTTTAAGAGATCCCACAAGTTACCATTTTAAACCCCTATTATCCTTTCCCCAAAAGGCAAGAAGTATTGCTATTTAGAAAGATTCCCATTTTCTCCTCCCAGCTTTTCTAACCCGAATTGGCCATCTCAGCTACGTTAGCCATCATCACTAGGCTCCATCTAGGCCAGGGGTCAGCAAACTGTACTCCGAGCCATATGCAATCCTTTCAGTACAGGCAGCTGGCTCTTAGGTTAAATTGAAAAAGCTTAAAGATTATTATTCAGATAACGGTGATTTCATTTGTTTGTAAAAATATATGGTATGGCGCTCAAATAACTTTAAAATTGTTGTGAGGGACAGGACTGGCTCGTTAAGTCTCAAAAGTTTGCGAACCCCTGACTAAACTTCCCGGTTGGGCCCAGAGTTCTCGAGACGACCTGCTTTAGTCAATCACCACAAGCATAAATTCTGACTACAACTGCCGATCATGTGTGCAACTGCGGAACCACTGAGCAAAAAGAAAAACCAGAATGGCTAGTATACAGTACAAATCATTATACAGTGAACGTCAAACTGTGAAAGCAACCAAAGAGAAGAGGCTACCTGTGCTCTCATATACCTGCCTCCAATGTAAGCCAGAGAGGCTCAAGTCCTATGTTCCCAAACTTATTTGGCCGACCACTTCATTTTCAGAAAACAAAACAACCAAAAAGCCATTACTGTACTTAACTGTCCCCCAGCAACGAAAAAGCTTTTGTATTATAGTCCATAATACAGCATAAAGTGTAGGATCTGGTTTTGCTGTGCCCTGAATCATTCAGCATGTGCGTCCCCCCTACTCTCCATCCCTCATTGGCCAAGGCAGTATCTCTCACTTTGGCAAAAACACTGATCCTTATAAGTGGCAGACAAAACGAGACTGACCGGAATACCAACACTCCCTCCACAGCCTGAAATCGAAAATAATCGGAAAGGATGAGGAATCAATCTATTAACTAGTGGGGGTGGGTGGGATGAACAAAGCGCTTTTTGAAATGACTCTACATTATTGGTTTTATTGGACTATTTCTTCAAATAAAAGGAGGAAAGCAAATGAGGGTTGGGAGTATTTAGTTTAGAAAAAAAGGAATTTTGGTTTATTTGGTGGCTTTGTTCGTCTCTAATCTTTCAAGTTTATTTCCTACTGTCTAAAAAAGAGGTTTCAAACGAAACATCCACCCTCCAATCAAACGTCAGATATTTTTAAACCTTCTAGCTGCTAGTCTATTATTTCCTTAAGGATACAATTCAGCATTGGATATTTCTGGCACACAGGGAATTACTATGATCAATATGTTCAATGGATCATAACTATGGATAGCCTTGAGAAGAATGGGAATTCTAGCACACTTCACTGCTCATGCCGAATTTACACCTGGATCAGGAGGAAGCTGTGTGAACGGAACAAGGGAGGTATGGAGAGAAGCCAAGAGGACAGCACAGAAAGGCTGCTGGCCTGAGAGTAACTGACCAAGAAGTCTAACTTAAAAGACAGACTGATGTCTAGATTTCTCTTTTTCTATTCTCTCATTCCTATCCCTGGAGGAGCGGAGGTGGTGCTAGGACACAAACTGCTACTTCCCTCCTAAAATTCGAGAAGGGTTTCTCTTTGTACCCAGAATACAGTGAGAATCCCTACAGGAGCCTGTAAAGCCTTGAATGGACTGGATCTGCCGAGCCTCCCCAGCCTCATTTTGTGACATTCCACTTTGTTTTCAATCCTCTGGTCTGCATACGTTTTTCAAATGTGCTGGTTCCTTTCTAAATCTGTACTTTTGTATTGTCTCTCCAACTTGGTTAACACTCTTATCTGGCTAAATCTCTCACTTACCTAGTGTAATTTGAAATACCACTTCCTGAGGACGCCCCCATGCAAATCATATTTCGCTGTAATATTCTATCATAAGCCAAACATACTGTCACTGAGTCAATTCCAACTCACAGTGACAATACAGGACTGAGGAGAACTGCTCCATAGGTTTTTTGAAGCTGTAAATCTTTACCAGAGCAAAAAGCCTCACATCTTTTTCTCTTGGATCTATTACTAGTAAGTTCGAACCGCTGACCTTACAGTTAGTAGCCAGATGAATAACCACTATTCACCAGCACTCTACTCTATCATAGAACTTTGCATTTCTTCCTTTACCTCTGATTCCTTACCATTTAATTTTGCTGCCATTGTTATAATATACACAGCAAAACATATACCAGTTAATAGTTTCGACATGCACAACTCCCTAACATGGATTGCATTCACCAGGTTAGGCAGTCATTTTCATCCCACTTTTCTGAGTTGTTCCTCCTTCATTAACACAAGACACTGCCCAGAAGTTCCTATCTTAATATTTTGAGTTGATGTTGTTGATGATATCACTTTTATCCCATACAGAAAGTTATTTAAAAAGGAATGTATGTCTTCCAAAAAAAAAAAAACACAAGAAAATGTGTAAACAGAAAGAATCTCAGCAGAGAAATGAAATTTTAAAAAAATAGTAGAAATCCTAGAATTAAAAGGTACAAAAAAAGTTGGAGATAACAGAGGAAAATTAAATAGGAAAAGAGATTAAAGAAAACAAATAGACAGGAGGGGGAAGGGAAAGTGAGGGAGAAAGGGGGAACAGATTACAAGGATCTACATATAGCCTCCTCCCTGGGGGATGGACAGCGGAGAAGTAGGTGAAGGGAGACAACGGATGGTGTAAGATTTGACAAAATAATAATAATTTATAAATTATCAAAGGTTCATGGGGGAGGGGGGTGCAGGGAGGGAGGGGAAAAATGAGGAGCTGATACCAAGGGCTCAAGTAGAAAGGAAATGTTTGAGAATGATGAGGGAAACAAATGTACAAAAGTGCTGGACACAATGTATGGATATATGGATTGTGGTAAGAGTTGTACCAGCCCCCAATAAGATGATTTTTTTAAAAAGGGAAAATGAACAGAACATTTAGGATATTTGGGCCAATAGGTGATGGTCACCTATCACTCACTTACTGTCTTTCTTGTTCTTTGACACTTGGCACTTACAATAAAAAATCTACTACCCAACCACTCTGCACATTCATGAACTATGTTGGGCAGTTGCAAACACGGAGGCCCTAGACGAGAACAACACTATTTATGGTAGTCAAGGCTATCTGTTAACTTGGAAGGGCCACAGTTCTTGGCAGTTTGGCAGTTGAGCAATGCTATATTTTGAAAGTTGTGGTGTGATACAACCATCGTCCATTTTTTATTGCCAATTTTCACATAACAACCTTGTCTTTTGGGACCTACTCACATCGATAAGTGAGGAGCTGGTATATAATTGGAGACTCAAAACATTAAGGCAGAAGTAGTTATTGAAGAAGTAACGTTTTAAAACATAAATGAAGTTTGGTGAAAAGTACCACTTTCCAGATGTAAAAATCTCAGCAAATCCGGAACAGAATAAATCTAAACAGATCCACAGGGAGGCACATAATGGTCAAACTGCTAAAAACCAAACATAATGACACAATCTTGAAAGCAGTCAAAAAACATGTCACATATAGAGAAACAATGGCATTCTGCAGCATCGG